AAAAGTATATTTAAACATTAAGTCTTAAATATAGTACACTGGCTGCAGCTTCATTTACAATTGTAAAAAACATAAGAATACAAAAATATAGGAGTGCTACAATAACAAGCATTCATGCATGGTTTAAAAACTTTTTTAAAATTCATCCAGAATATTCTCAGATTTCGTCGTGGCGTATATACACAGAATCAAGCTGGAATCAATGTAAAATACAAACAAACAAAACCACTCGTTCTGACGAACGATAGAAACTGACATTTTTTCAACGGTTTTACTTAACGTGACTCCTGTCTGTGTGTCGTGGTCAAATCTTGTAATCAAAATTTTGTCTACTTCCTGTTGCCAAATCAATTCAAAATTTTGCACACGTGCTCAGATGCGGTGACAATGCCCATATCAAAATCGGCATCGATTAATCAGTTAATTCGATACTTTAAAGCAATTTTAATTTTGTATGGACGCCTTATTATTTATATATTTTTGTGTACGTCAAAAACGCCGTGATCCCTAAACTCTCGAATCGCCTCGCCAAAGAAGCAGGCGCCACGTGTCTCAGGCGCGCCTGCTCCGTGTGAACGAGTTACGGGCACCCTCACTCCACACAAACAAAAGTTGTACATTGAAGATTCATTTACAAAATAACCAATTAATTCAAGTAAGCGTTGATGTGGGAGCAGGCGCCACATCATCGACGCACTTCTCGACCGTGAGCTAAACAAACTTGTGAATAAAACCGTTGTTTTTACAAAAACTTTTTTTAAGGAGTTTATTTCTTCATAGTTAAAAAATAACCTGTTGTGTCCTGTTACAACCAGAATGGGGAGGCACTCAACATATGGTCGACAGCCCTGAGAATGTTGCGCAAATTCCACATTCCTATGGTTGGGGAATAAACCATTCCACGGAACAACCTCACTGTCGACTTGCCACAAAGTGGTACTAATTTTATAGATCCCTGGGGTGAACGAGGGCTGTGTGGGCCCTCAACCTGGAATGCGGGTCATTAGTGACATTTCCCAAACTTCCCAATGCAGGTCCCTCTGAAAAAAAAAGTTGAGGATCAAGAAACACCCTCCGGGATAAACCATACATGATGATGATGATCATTATCATGAATAGATTGACCGAGTGGAGGGTCTCTATTATTTATTGCAAGTAGGCATCCCCACGCAGTTGCGATCACAGGGGCTGTCTGACCATACTTCACCACTTTGGTCAGTGCGGGTTGGTGAAAGGCAGTGCCCAGGACCGTTTGAGACATCACTTGCCACTGCTGTCAGCCACTGCCATGAATCGAAATCAGTTTTCTGGATTTATAGCAGAGCATGCTAACCACTGAACAACAACTCCACCTCAAATAACTATACTGTATTTCATATATATGAATACATAAATAATCATGAGGTGCCCCCTCAAATATTTCTATAAAATCCCAAACAGGATGTGAAACCACAACCATCCTAGTTTTTTTTTTATTACAAAGTTGCTTGGCACGGGCCGAAAGGCCCTAAATGCCCAGCACCAGAGCCCGGAACTTTGACCACAGTACCACCTGACCAGATTTCAAGAGCATGAAAAAATGAACACTGCACGTTGGCAATGGAAATTTTTTCCATGGCTTATAAATGAGTAGCAGTGTCTGAAAGGGTTGTGCGTGTGCACATGCGTGGTAGAGACTGCGCAAACAGGTCAATATGTGCAGTACTTGGCCTCAATCTTAGCCACAGCTGGGCGCACGCTGAGCCCTCATGCCAAGGGGGCCTCACCAACAGGAATCACGTCATCTGTACAGCGTGGCACTTCAAGAGGCAGCGAGCATACCTCACGATGCGCACACACGCTACATTGGCAGATGCCTGTCGAATGCTGTACGGTTAAAGAGGGGGGCATTATGGCAGCGGACACACGATGGCGTTAATGAGACCATACGGTTGTGTATTGTCAGTTCCGTGTTTATTATAAACTGCGTTTACATGTCTCAGTGGCTTTACACCGGAAGGTTATTTTATTACTTTGAAGACTCTTTCAAGAGCAAATATAGCACCTGAAATATCGCAGGTGTGTTGGGTCAGAAGCGATTAAATCAGCGCATGTCCAGGCGCGAGATGAACTGTTGCATCGCAAGACTTTGAGAGACTGTGAGGGATTGGTAAAATCTTAATCCAGCAGCTGACGGAGCATGATTGATCACGATGATCGAGTTCGTATAAAGGATGCATTCGTGGCTAAAGATCTGACATTCATTAAACGGAACGCGTCAACCGCAACACATGCGGATCACGTTTTATAAAGGTGGCAATCGACGCTCAATCCTACCAGTTAATTATCGCCCAGGGGAGCGGAAATGGATCGTGCTATTTGAGGGCAACGTCTGCACTTGTTGGGCAGGTAGTGATGCGTGCACTCTGAACTGCCAAGAGGCCAGGTTCTGTGCGCTCATGCCCACACGGCTGTAATGCGTACACACATTAACATAACATTGAGCTCCATTCACACGTTGGCGAATTTTGGCACAAACGTATTAATGTCTCCCATCCCAACCATAAGGAAAAATAACCAACGTGATATTTTCACCCACCACATCGAGATATGAAATAAGGGACAATAAACAATTGCTGCGAATTTATTCCTAAGTAAATTTTCCTAATTACACCATTCATTTAACCATTATATGCACAAATAAACTCGACGCATTCCTCAATAACACAGCCTTAGACTAGTGAGGTAACGTTTCTGGCAACGGCCCTTCTTGATTGCACATAAATTACAGATGTCACAAGTACGTCATGAGAAACGGCTATAGATTAAGTATTGCCCAGCAGCAGTTTGGCACATGTGGTTCCACGAAATTGTGGTCAGGGGTTTTTTTAGCTGCCGCAATAAACCACATGCCAAATACTGCAGTGTGGCAGATTGGCCCCAAAGAACCTCATGACAGCTCCTCACACCCATTACGTGTGTCATCAGCACGAAAGGTCTTTCCCTAAGGGCAGAGACTCAACAACAGCCTATTGCATCGACTGTGTGACCTGTGAGACCCTTAAGGACATGGGGATGGGGGTGGTTGATTGGTTGGCTGAGTGGTTAAGGGAGTGGGTGGGCGGTTCGGAGTGCAATGCTGCCCACGGTACTGCTTTCCGTGATTACCATCAGGACCATCAGGTGAAGCTTATTAATTTAGAGAATGAAAAGACGGGACCGTGGGAGGTCGCAAGGACTGGAGCTGAGAAGGGATGGTCTAGCAGATACGTAGGTTGGTGGAGGGGTGGGTGATGAGTAGGGAGTCAGCAGGTAGGTGAATATATGAGTGGAATAACGGAAGTTGGATAGTGTGTAAATTAATTGACTTGGTGAGCAGACATTGTGTGGGGGGGGGGGGGTTAAGTGATCGGGAAGGTGAGTGATTGGGTTAGGTGTGTGGGTAGGTAGTTGGGCAAAAACGCTCGAGTGTGAAGGTACGTAAGCGATTGATTTGATGGATATGTGATTGATTAGGTGGGGGTGGCATTCCTGTCAACCCATACGGTTTAGCCCGTGGTCTGTAATAAGGTAGGCACTGATAAGGGGTTGACAGGTATGGATATCATGATTAGCCAAGATCTATCTGCTTCTGGATGGAGGACTCCCCACGCTGTCGCCATCCTTCAACGATCCGTTCAGCTCCTGTGCACGAGCTGGCCTCATCGCTCCAACTTCCCGGTCACCAATACGATCTCCACTTTGTAGGATGAACGTTGAGATTCATAAGGGCACCACGGGGTACCCAATGAGGTGTGAATTGGCCTGTAATAAGCTAGGCACTGATACGGGGGTTGACATGTATGGGGTGGGTTACTGGATGAGTAGGTGACTAAGTCTACGAGTGAGTGCCTGGAGTGGACGACTGAGAAGTTGGGTGGGTGGGTAGGTAGGCGTTTGGAACTATGGGTTGGTGGCAGGTGGCTGGATGAGTAGATGATGGCCCAGTTGTTGAGTGGGTGACCGCAGCTATTGCCTACGTGTTTCGGTTTGTTGAGCAGGCGCATCAGAAATCCACACGAGTACCTGACCCAGAGGTCGCAACCGGGTACCCGATACCCGGCTACCCTGGTGCGGCCGGGTACGGGTAAGGAATCAAAACCCGTTTGCGACCTCTGACCTGACCGCTCAATCCCACACCCCTCGACAACCACCCAGGCCCCTGGCCCGCGGAGGTCGTCAGGGTCATCAGCACGAACAATCACCCCTCAACCCCCCCCCATGACAACAACCACCGCCATTCGCCACTAAGTGGCGGTGACGTTACCACGACGCTTGTGCCAGGCCATGTGCACCTTGAGGCCACGTGAGGTGTCGAACGCCCGCTGGCCAGGAAGTCACGGGGCAGACCCAGCAGAGGTCACGGGTCGACTGACTGAGATGGCCGAGATGACTGGCCGATGCACCACCTGTGCCCCCTACTGTGCCAACTTGCTGTGTTATAGCCACTGGACAACAACAGCCGCCATTCGCCACTAAGTGGCGGTGACGTCACCACGACGCTTGTACCAGGCCATGTGCACCTTGAGGCCACGTGAAATGTCGAACGCCCGCTGGGCAGGAGGTCACGGGGCAGACCCAGCAGAGGTCACGGGTCGACTGACTGAGATGGCCGAGATGACTGGCTGATACACCACCTGTGCCCTGTACTGTGCCAACTTGCTGTGTTATAGCCACTGGACAACAACAACAACCGCCATTCGCCACTAAGTGGTGGTGACGTCACCACGACGCTTGTACCAGGCCATGTGCACCTTGAGGCCACGTGAAGTGTCGAACGCCCGCTGGCCAGGAGGTCACGGGGCAGACCCAGCAGGTGCCACGGGGCAGACCCAGCAGGTGCCACGGGTCGACTGACTGAGATGACCAAGATGAGTGGCTGATGCACCACCTGTGCCCCCCTACTGTGCCAACCTGCTGTGTTATAGCCACTGGACACACACCCCCACCACCTTCAACGCAGCACCGTCCGCCCCGCTCACCTGCGCGGGGTCGTCGTAGTAGACTCCTATGGAGCGCAGCGTGGGCGCGATGCTCGCCGCCTCTGTGTAGAGGCGGCCGCTTTGTCGGTAGGGCCCCACACAGTACTTGTAGGCGACGGTGAGGCCGCGCACGGGCGGAGACCCGGTACGCACCACCACGGCGGCGCACAGCCCCGAGTGGAGCGCTACGCCCACCAGCGAGCCGAGCAGCAGCAGCAGGAGCGCCGCGATGAGCGATAGCAGCGCCCAGTCCTCCATGAGAAGCGGCGACGACGACGGCGGCGGTGACTGCGACGGCGGCGAGAGAAAGACGACGATGGGTCGATGTTGGGGGGGCTTGTTGTTGCTATCCGCTGCCACCGTTTGTATTTACTGGAGCGCTTAAGCGCGCGGCGGAGCGAAGCGCGTGCCCGTTGGCTGCGCGCGCAGACGCTGACCAATGGGAGGCGCGCGTTGGGCCACCTCGCGCCCGCGCCCACCAATCACAGCGCGCTTCTGCGCGTTCGGTCTACGAAATGCAATTGGTATGTGGTGGGTTCATAGGTGGGTTTTGTGGTTGGTGGGGAATTACCGTTTGCTGGCGATTGTTGTTTGTTTGTTATTTGGAGGCGCTGCGGGGGAGGAGGAGTTTAATGACAGAAGGCAAGGGGGATGCGGCGGCGACGTGTCGCGTTTGCGGCAGCTGTCGTGATCGGGGAGAATGAGGCCGCGAATGTCAACAATGCGGGCTGCGTGCGGGACTCGTGAAGGAGCGCCACCGACTTCCGGGTCCACGCGCCGCTTTGTACCACGTGGGCGGACGCGACCAATGCTCTGGGAGGGAGGGGAGGGGGGGCGCATGGAACAATGGGGCCACGTGCTGACAGAGCTCTTGTCGTCGACGATTCGATGAATTGTTACGGTTTCGTTTCGAGGATTATTTGGGTTTTTTTTAAATCCTTTATATTAAGTTCACTTGCTTGCTTGCTTACGACCGTGCAAATCTTTCGGTCGTTTTTTAACCCACTTCCCGTGATCCAATCGAGCTGACATTTTCCACACAGACTCGTTGTGCGTGACAATGTTCGTGAAATTTTTTTTCTCCAAAATTTTACACTTTTTAGGACAAAAATACTATATTTAATTACCAATTGCTTAATGCTGCCATGCAATCATCTGACCCATAGGTGGCAGCGTTTTCAAGCCAGAGGACGAGAGGACTCTTGCCGCCACGCATATAAAGGATTTATAGTGAAAAACTTTGTTTTTACGGGTTATACTTGTTTATAGGATTCTATTGAATGTATCGGCCCCTAGTGGCTGTGGAGGTCACATGGACCTATTAGTGGACATCTGTAAAGAAAATAGCTTTTTCGCTCGTGGGATTCCTCCAACCACGTGGGCGGACGCGAACACTGCTCTGGGAGGGGTGGGGGCATAGAACAATGGGGCCACGTGCTGAGAGAGCTTGGATGTACAACGGCGTCGACGATCCGATGAATTGTCGCAGTTTCGTTTCGAGGATTATTTGTTTTTTGTTTTGTTACGATTCTATTGAATGTATCGGCCCCTAGTAGCTGCGGGGGTCACATGGACCTATTAGTGGACATCTGTCAACACAAGAGCTTTATAGTTCATCAGATTCCTCCAATATAAATAAATATTCGGATTCTCTTTTGCACAATATATGAATCGAAAAAGTTATGCTTTCACAATTCGATGGACTTATAAGTGAGCTTATGAATAGATGATTATAGATACATTTCTGAATTAGGTCACGTGATGATCTGACCAAGCATTTAACGTAAAAATTGTTTTATCTCACCGGTAAGTTGAATAATTCTCTCAACCAAATTTCGCTATTAGATTATTTTCTTGAAACTATGCCAATAATATTCTTGGTTCTTTCGGTAAAGTCACGTAGAAGGGAAATAATAAAATAATAAAAATATAAAACAATAATGGTTGACTTTACCGAAAGAACCAAGAATATGAATCCTTTTAGTCACGAAAGCTTTAAATAAAAGTGTATGCCAATAATCTTCAGCAAAATCCGGGATGTCAGCAATATTGTCTGCGAATACTGAACTGATACATTTATCATGATGTAAAGAATACATATCACGGTAGCCCTGTGGACATCATCAAAGCAGAGGGACTAATTGTTCGAACAAACATTGTTTTTTTCACTAAATCTTTACACAGAAGTTACATACCACAATCATGGAATTACATATTAGTCATTCTATTAAAAAAATATGACAAACGGAACTTGAGTGTGACGGTTTACAGATATATTTACCTATTTTTAAACGTGCAGTATAAATTGTTCGCGAAGATCATTGGGAACAATGAAAACCAACCAGGTACGTAAGAACGACTCGGGACATGTTCCATAACCACCGACTGAATACTATTAATCAGATTATGGAAAAGACGGACTCCTATTTTTCCTATTCTTTGCAGATTGTGAAAAAAGAGTTCAACTGTAGAAGTTGATGCAATCATTCAAGCTCTCACAAAGCTATACGTAAAATATAGAAATAATACCATGTACTCAACAGCAACAGCCACGCGAAGATTACATAAAGAATGTACCAAAAGAAATACTAAAAGGGTAGTCACGCAAAGTGTCACGCTTTTGCTAAATGTATTCACAGCAGCAGAATTTATCTTCCGAAACTCGGTTTGGGGAAACAAATGGATACATAATGTTGGGAAAACCTCATTCGTCTCATATTTGCCAATTGAAATGTAGTTTCAGGAAATATTATAAGAAGGTAAAAACCAAAGTATAATAAGGTAATAAAGCGTTCTGCAAATTTGCGCTTGGCATAAATGTGACTATAGTAAAAATAAAAGTGAATTGAAATTCGCTCACTGAACAAAATGGAGCTGTTAAATCACGGACACAATTGGCAGAACATGCCCAACGTTTGGGGCCGTCCATAAATGACGTCACGCACCTGGGGGGGGGGGTGGGTCAGACATTTGTGACGATGTGTGACAAGCGGGGGGTTTTGAGAAATGTGACGTCACGTAAAAATGCACAACTTTAAATAAATATAGACAACACGTTCTACTTAATTAAATATACTTTTTAATAAATGTTTTCTCCTACAACATCAGAGTGCAGCGCCACATTAAATACGCACTACAATGACAATAGTTTAAAGCGATTTGAAGCCTGTTTTACTTGGGGGGGCAGAGCTTTGTGACGTCATATTTGAGGGGGGGGTCTGTCTTTTTGTGACGCCGTGTGACGACGGGGGGGGGGGGGGGTCAAAAATTCGTCCAAAATCGCGTGACGTCATTTATGGACGGCCCCTTATTGAATTTGCACCGGAATCAAAACGACCTCGTCGCTACTCAAATTAGAACCGCATACCTATAACTCTTGGGTTTAATGACTCCCTCGGCTCGGCCTAATCACGAAGAGGGGGGGTAGTTGTGTGTTTGGTGTGTGTGTGTATCAGTACGTGTGTAGTAGGGGAGCGGTAGTGTAGCGGTCAGCGCGCTGCGCTAAGAACCCGGCGACCCGGTGGTTCGATTCCCGCTCACGGCCAACACCAGTGACGATTATCTGAACCGGTCCTGGACCTCCCCTAGGTCGACTCAGCCTGAAATGAGTACCTGGTGCGGTGAATAAACATCGCCACTGGGGAGACAAAGGCGGTCGGACGTGGTGCTGGTCACCCACCCAATCGTGTACCGTTCCGGCCTTCATAGGTGCTCGCTAACAGCACTTGCCCCTATAGTCTGTTAAGGCTATACGGGGGATCTTTGTCTTTGTGTGTCTGTGTTTTATTGGTAAGTGTTAGGAATGGTTCGTCGGTTGTCATGCTTTAATCTGGATCCCAGTGTCTGTCGACTGTGTTCATTTCAATGTATCTGTGTCTGTCTATTCAATAGTTTCATGTTGATGTCTGTGTGTGCATGTGTTTGTTAATGACGTCACCGCCACTGAGCGGTGAACGGCGGTTGTTGTTATCGTTGTTGTTGATGACAATATTTCATTGTCTGCGTGTCTGTTGATGAATTCGAAAGTACCGCGACACACCTGGGATGTATTATTAGCGGTGCCAAGCACGGGATAAGAGAACACACGCGCAGATTAAATATACGGCGCTGTTATTCAAAACTGTTTAGACAAGTGGTCTTGGGTTAGGACACGTCGTTTGAAGGTTGATGTTGATGGGCGACGGTGAAGAATACTGAAGACGGGAGTGGCAGCCAAAGAATGGAACGTCTTCGATAGGGCACGTCCAACGGAGAGACGGAGCGACGAAATCTGGCCGTGTGCATGTGCTGGGTGGATTGTTATATTGTGGGGAGCGGGTGAGCGCTGCTGCGCTGTGAACCCGGCGACCCGAGTTCGATTCCCGCTCACGGCCACAGGCACCAGTGACGATTATATGAACCGGGCATTGGCCCTCTCCTAGGTCGACTCAGCCTCAAATGAGCACCTGGTGGGTCTGTGAAAACATTGCCACCGGGGAAACAAAGGCAGCAGGGGGTGATGCTGGTCACCCACCTCATATTTGCTCATGAACGGCACTTCCCCCAAGTCTGTCAAGACTATACGGAGTATATTTGTCTTTGTTATACTGGTAGGAACCCACTGGTTACACCAGCCCTCAGGGGATTATTGTGTCCGTCCGTCGTGCAGGGAGGGGCTGGGTGAGGAGGGAGGGTCTAGGTGGGGAGGAGAGGGTGGGGAGAGCTGGGTGGAGAGGGTGGGGCTGGGTGGGGAGGGGCTGGGTGGGGAGGGTGGGGAGGGGCTGGGTGGGGAGGGTGAAGAGGGTGGGGCTGTGTGGGAGGGTGGGGAGGTTGGGGCTGCTCACCCCTGGTGCCCTTGTAAAACTCAACGTTTAACCTACTCACGCCGGCTTGTACACGCCCTCACAGTCGGGCATATTTGCGGAATACACCACGCCGCCGTTGACCCTGGCCATTGACCGAGCAACCCAACGTTCCTACCAGCTTCCTCCGCAGGAATGTGTTATCGCAAGGGTGGTACAACATTTGAGTGTGGCTTTCATCAAGCAGGTGGATTGACCACGGCTGATAGTGAATTTGTTTTAATTATTTCTTCCCTAAATCTGGGACTCCCCCCCCCCTCTCCCCGATTGAGAGCCCCCACTTGAGGCCATTGATTGAGCGTGTTTTATTGCTTGCTTTGCTTATGCCCGAGCGCTTTTTTTGAAACCGCTGCTGCCAGGCCAGCTCGCGAATTTGTGTTTGCTCGCTCGAAAGGCCTCCCTCCTCCTGGGTGCGCACTCCTCCTCCTCCTCGCCGAGTCCACGTGGCCACGGGGCGGCGCGCACACACGCGCGCACACACACGCGCACCGCCCCGTGGTGTCGGGTCCCAGCCCCTCTTAAATGTCAACCTCGATTATCCCAGAGAACAGAGCCGAGGACAGGCACACACGCACACGCACGGACGCGCGCGCGCGCGCAGGCACACACACGCACGCGCGCGCAGGCACACACACACACACGCGCACGCATACCCACAGACTCGTATATATGTAGGAACACACAGACACGCTCACACACGCACGTATGTAAACATACACACAGGCGCACGTGCAGATACATACCCACAAACTCATACAGACAGATATAATCAATCATACGCACGAAGATATAGACACACAGGCACACATACCCACCCACACACAGATACACACCCATCCATATACACACACA